TTTTTTTTAAGTTTTTTTTTTGAAAAAACTCACCTCAGATGACAAATCAGCTTAAGCTTAAAAAATTTTCACATATATAAAAAAAATAAAATTTTTCAACGGAATCATAGTAATGAGATTTTTGATGCTTTTTTTAACTTTTATCGAAGATTGGTTTAAGAAAAACTTGAGTAACTATACCGATTTATATTTATAAGGTATCATTGGAAAGACATTTTGGCACCCTTTTTATATATATATTTTTTTTCAAAGTATGAAAGAGAAAGGCCCCGCTCATGTAAAACTTGATAATTTTCCGAAATATTTTTGTGGAAGTCTTCAAATATAATAAATTTTGTAATCCCGGCGGAAAACCCGAATCTTTTTTGGTGATGCAGTCTAATGTACTACATCATATCTATGTGTTAGTTTCTGGTTTAGCTGCCGGCAGCCTTTTTGAGCCAGTTTGACTTTTGGCACAATTGCTGACTTTTGAATCCCAAGCACTTTTGGCAATAGTGGCTACTTTCAAAACGGTTGACTTGTCAATTTCTTTGCTTTTCACGCTTTGCTCATTTTGCTTTGTTTTGTTTGGCAGTTAAGGGCTATAATTTGCTTAAAGTCAACATTCTGTAGAGTTGACATGATTTCTAAAAGCTATGTTGGCTAAAGAGTAGAAAGCAATATCACCATGATTGACAGAAATTAGAAGTAACGTGTGTCTTGTGCACATACATATATGCAATGTGTGCTGCAATGTATGTAAATGTTGGGAGCAATTTAAAATTCTCTTGTTTTTATTTATGTAAATTTTTTGAAAATTTTTTCGAAGTACAAAGTACTACGTTTTTAAAAACTCGATGGAACTCACCCAATAGGGCAATTCATCTAAACGCGTAAATTTCGTAACCTCGTAAATACACCGATTTTCCATACAAAATTAAGTAAGTTTCCATGAATACCCACAATAATTTTTAATCTACTTCAAATAAGTATTAAGAATTTTCACTCATAATCTCCACTTTCCTAAGTTATCGTTTGTTATTCAAATTAAAAGAGCGCAGGGCAAGTGAAAAGTAGAAATACAGAGAGAAAAAGAGTATAAATCGAAGGAGCATTGAAAAAGATCTTACAACAATACGTAAAATAATAAATAAAACTAATGAACCACTCAATTAAGTTGATAGAAAGATCGGCGACTGGCGATGGGAGAGATATCGTTCCCACGACACTCGGGTCTACGTAACCGGAACGACCCAGATTTATATTTGGCCAAGGACTGTCACTCCAGCAACGCACCCCCCAAAAACTCGTTGGGGTACTTTTATGCTGCTAGAACAACAACAGGAGAGATATGTAACAAGTAACAAAACAACAATGTCCGAGGATTTAATAAACTAACACTTACAACTGCTTGCGGAGAAAAGCCAATAAAATGATAAGTAAATACATAAGCCCCAGAGAAGACTTTTGACTAATACTTTTAAGCCCTTTTGAAGGTTGTATCTAGTAGATTTATATAAATCAGTTGAGAAATGCAAACCTGCATTGCAAGCGAACGAAATAACTTTAAAAAAAATCTGGCTTATGGTACTCTAACCAAACTCAAAGCTATTAGGAGAAAAAAATATTTGTAAGTAGGTACAATAATTGCTATAAACCATTAATTAACACACATTCAGCAAACATTAAACTGTCTTAATTAATCAGTTACTTTAACATACGAAATTCAGCTCCAAATCTTTAAGCTTTTCATTGGATTCATTGCAAGCAATCCTACGCAATCGTCGTCTAACTATATAGATACAATAATCTTAATCGACTAAAGCGCGCTTGTAGAATGCATTACAATTTATGAGTGTGTAAATGTGTTTGTAAATGGCTCACATTAAGACGTATACATATATGTATATGTAGGTGCAGAGGTATTCAGCTTGCATGGCTAATAGATATTTACAGCATGGCTATTACCAGCAGCTATTAACTAGATATTGCAATTCTATTCAATAGGCAACGTAAAATAGTTATCGCATAATACATTTACATTCAGCTTAATAAATGTTCCTAATGATACAGTGTGCACAAGTAAATACATACATACGTATATGTATGTATAGGCATGTATACTAATGAAACGGTATAATGTTTAATGAGATTTCAGTTTATGAGCTTCATACTGTCACGATACGAAAAGTGTAAGTGGCTATGTACTTATGTAAATATTTGTATGTAGACACGCTTGTATGACATTAGTTATAGCTTTTGGCTATACACTTGGAAATTTATAAGCCTCAAATAGCTAGAATGAATATTAACTTTGTGTGGCACGGTATGTTTTTGTTGCGATACGATTTTGTAGGTATGTACATATTTATGTATGTATGTCCGATGTAAGAATAAGTTAGGTAAATATTTTTAGTTATTAAAGTTTTAGTTTGCATGGCTGAGAGTTTAAGTTTAACATTACAAATTTGAATAAAAGACTTTGATGATCTAATTTGAAAAACAATTTTTAAGTTTCATCAGCCGCTGCTGGTAGCTTCTCTTCCAATGATAATAGATATATCGACATCGATCTTCTAAAAAGGGAGTTAACACAAAAATACATATACTTCAACTGCATTCTATTTTTATTTAAGCTTACGATGACCGACAAGTATCCTAGACATTTTAAACCGGTTCCAGCTAACCGCAGTAGCCTTCGTGACCTCTATAAATTGGAATGTCTGGAATCTGTTAAAATATTCTTCAACACGATTCCGAGATATCGTTAGTCATAATCACCGCATTGATAAAAGAAGTTATCGGTGATCCGAAAGTTAAATGGCCTTATCGTATATTAAATTTCTCAATATCATAACTTGTAGCATACTCTCGGTCGACAGGGGAAAGGTTCCTCGCATAGCAAATTCGCAAATCTTTTTTCAACACATTAATGGTCTAAAACTATGAAATAATAAACTTCACGTAATTGTTATGACTAGGCGGTGGTAGTAAGAGTTTCATCAATCCAAAATATATTGCAGAGTGAATATTTTAATTTGAGTGAATTGAAAAGTAACTAGAATTTTTATAACAGCCAATTTAGTTGCAAAGCTGTTCGAGTCAAAAAAAGTTCAGTAATTTGCCATTTACAACTACTTAGTTGTGCTAAATAAATTCTCTTTCATAAAAATATGTTGAGTTTAGTGCTACTTAAAATGCAAAAAATGCATTAAAATATGAATTGTGTTGCATATTTAGCGGCGCACAATATGCAAAAATAGGCAACACATTCGAAATGCTCATTTTTTGTAGGTATTTTACAATGTCGGGCTTATTTTACGCAATTACCATTAAATCAAATCTGCACGTTGCATGGTTATGGGCGATTATTATAATCGAATTACCTAACTGCATAACAATATGTGCAATTTAGACAATGCTACAATTTTGGCTGACACATTTTTATTATCTACGCGTTAACAATGCATCCTGCCGTACTATTAAAATTATTAACTCGCTGCAAATGCGGTAGTTACAATACAACATAAATATCCGACTTTGGCATTAAACTGATTTTTTTTTTTTCTTAAAAAAGGGTGAAATTAGATGTGTAAACATATGTTTACGGCTCGGCAAACCATTAGGCGATTGAGTTACATACATAGGTTTGGTTAGAAATCAAACAATAATTTCATTTCATCTTATTAATTTTCTGATATACATATAATTTATTTATTCCTTTTTCCGGTAACACCACCTTTTATGAATTCGCGCTTCTAGCATCCATAGGACCGGGTTGTAATGGAAGTAACTGCATGTTTAACAAATAAATGAAAATGTTTATAATGCAATCAATTGATCCTTACGAATTCGCCATTACCGAGGCACTAAGTAACGAACGCACTTTTGTTTGCAAAATGCATTTAATTAAGTTAAAAGAGGACAAATTCCTTTGTTCGGCATTTATTCTTACTCGCTTTCTATCTTCCAATGCGAATTCATATATTCTTATCACGAATTCATATATGCATGTGATATTTAGCAAGAGTATAAAAACATAAAATTACCTTATAAATTAAAAGCATAAGTATCACATGTATGCGTAGTCCAATTCACGAAATCATTTCATCGATCTTAGTAAAAACTAAGTGCATAAACTCAAGTCCGCGTTAATTGTAATCATGAAATGGTGTGCACTCATTCAGTTTCTACACAAACGTATGAAATGATTTCATGAATTGGCCTACGCATAATGGTAGTAAATGACAAAATGAATTACAACAAACGCATCCTTTTGACATAATGCAAGCCGAAAACGTTGGTTCAAATCAATCCGCATTCAAATTTGACGTTTTGCCCACAAACATTGCAATTTTGCGCATTTATATCAACGAGCAGCTTATTAGATTTGTTTTCGTTTGTACTACATATGTGCATATATATATGTACGCAAACACATGTACATACGCAAACATATGTACATATGTACAAATATATATACAACCATTCAAACATATGTACATATATGAAAACATTGCTGTCCATAAGTCCATATATGTACATATATGCCCATCAGTACATCAACGAAGCCCGCTTGCTTCACCATAAATATATCCATACAAACATATGTATATATGTACGAATGGATGTAGTTACGCGAAGCACACTTGCATCATTTATACATATGTATATTGCATGGTAGCGGCAGAGCTGAAATGCGCAATGTGTTCGTTCATACATTAATATATATGTATGTATACATACATACGTGCATTCAAACATACATATATACATACATATGTAGGTACTCGTACCCGTCATTCGTCGCTTTATTTCTTTTTTCCCCTTCCCTATACTACCTATATCTTCCTTCTCACTCATGTAACGTTTTCAGTTTTAAAAATTTCACTCTCCATTTTTGCGATACCGCCGCCTAAGAAGTTTCACTTCAAAAAGCGCATTCCAATGCAATCTCGCTCATCAGTTCTTTCACTACATGTAATCTCCCTTCTCTTTTGTTTAATTTTTCTCCACAGGTTTCTCGCCTGCTGGCAATCATGAAGTACCACCAGCAGTGCCAACTCACCGTGCACCTTTGCCGCCAGCTCCCACCCCACCATCGAATCTCAATATCAATCTTCCGGAAAACAACAATGGTATACTGCGCCTCGAAGTCGAATTACGTGATAAGCATGCACCGAAATATAGACGCGGCATGGGACGTGGTGTTGGCGCAGGTCGTGGACAGGGTATAGGAGTGGGAGCGGGTGGAAAACGTGCACCTGCATCGCCCAAGATTGTGGAGGATCAAAGCGCAATAGTGCCATTGGAAAAGGTGAGATTGCGATTTAATTTTTTGATTGACGTGATTTTAAGAACCCCATGTGTTTTGGGCCAAATGAAGTGAATTGGCCAAATGAAGTGATCTTGAAAAGCGATGTACGAGTGTAGGTGATTTAGCAATTTTCCAGATGAAGAAGAATTTAAACACTTTAAACGAGTTAAAGCTAAATAAATGAAACTGATAAGATTAGACCTTTTACCAGCCTGATAGAACAATGGAGAATAAAAAAATTTGTATGTATTTTGAATGTTGTGTTTTAAGAGGAAAGCAGGCATGGGGTGCAGTATCGTCTTATCGAAGCAATCATCGACCGCAGGGATACCATCCTAGAATGTCAGGGTATTGCTATCCGGTCAGGCGATGCGAGCTCGAAATATTTAACGTAAATATACCACCGGGCAGCTGGCGGCAGGATATCACCGTATGGTGAAGTAATATGAGCGATAAGAAGGATTTATATTGATTTTATACTATCTAAGTTGTTTGAAAGTTTGCCTTTAAAATTTATTTTTCAACAAAAAAAACTCTATGCAAAGCAACTACTACGGGATTTTTGGGACTTTTTCGGAATATTTGGGACTATTTCGAAATTTTCGAGACTTCTTCAGGATTTTTAGGATTTTAGGGGTTTTTCGAGAATTCTTCGGGATTTTCTGGACAATTTCAGGCTTTTCAAGACAACTTCGATATTCTTGGGCCCATATGGGATCTGCGGAACTACTGCAAAATTTTTGTTACCAATTCGGATTTTTTGGTACCATTTTGGGTTTTTCGAGACCACTTTGAGATTTTCAGGGTTCTCGGGGCTATTTTAAAACCTTAGGGATTTTTGGGACCAATTCCGAATTTTTGGGACTAATTCGGGTATTTCAAAACTACTTCGAGATTTTCGGGGCTCTCGGGAATATATCGGGATTTTTGGGACTATCTTGGAATTTTTGAACTTATTCGGGACTATTCCGGATTTTTCGAGACTATTTCAAAATCGGGAATTTTTAGACCATATCGGCATCTTCGGGATTACTTCGAGATTTTTGAGATCATTTTGGAATTTTAGGATTATTCGGGGTTTTCGAGACCATTTCAAGGCTTTTGTATCTACCTGGGGACTTTTGAGACTTCTTCGGGATTTTTAGGACTATTTCAGGTTTTTCGAGATTACTAAGAGATTTCTGGGATTCTCTTCTGGGAAATTCCCAAAATTGCCCCAAAATCCCGAGTAGTCCCGAAGGTCCCGATATACTCACGAGAACTCCGAAAATCTCGGAAGTAATCTCGAAAAACCCGAGGCAGTCCTAAAAATTCCTAATTGGCCCCAAAATTACCGAAGTAGTCCCAAAGATCCCAATATAGTCCCGAGAACCCCGAAAATATCCACGTAGTCTCGAAAAACACGGAATAGCCGTGAAAATCCCAAAGAAATCTCGAAGTAGTCCAGCAATCTCGAAATAGTTCCTAAAAACCCGATATATTCCCGGAAATCCTGAAAATCACGAAGTTGTCACAAAAATTCAGAAATAGTCCCAAAAATCCTGATAGTCTCGAAGTACTGTCGAAAAACCCGAAATTGTCCCGCAGATCCCGATATAGTACCGAGAACCCCAAAAATCTCGAAGCACCTTCGAAAAACCCGAAATACTCTAGAATCCCGAGAAAATCTTCAAGATCCGAAAACCCCGAAGGAGTCTCGAAAGCCCCGAAAGAGTTCCAGAAACTCCGAATTAATCCGAAAATCCTCAAGTAATACCGAAGATCCTGATATATACGCGAGAACACCGAAAATGTCCCAAAAATACCAAAATAGTCCCAGAAATCCCGATATAGTCCCAAAAATTCAGAAATAGCCCAAAAAATCCCGAAACAGGCCCGAAGATCCCTATATAGTCTCGATAAACCCGAAAATCTCCAAGTAGTCTCGAAAAACCCAGAACAGTCCCGAAAATTTTGAAATAGTTCTTAAATACCATAATAGTCCGAAAAATCCCGATATATTCCCGAGAACACCGAAAATCTCGAAGTAGTTACGAAAAACCCGAAATAGTCCCAAAATAGCCCCGAGAACACCGAAAATATCGAAGTAGTTTCGAAAAACCTGAAATGGTACCAAAAGATCCGAATTAGTCCCAAAAATACCGAAGTAGTCCCGCAGATATCGATATGGGTCCGAGAACCCCGAGAATGCCGAAGTTATCATGAAAAACCCGAAATATGCAGTGCAAAAAATCTCGAAGAATTTACGAAAATCGTGAAATAGTCCAACAATCCTGAGAACCCCCGAAAATTCTTAAGTAGTCTCGAAAAATCCGAAATAATCCCAAAAATACGGAATTATCCCCAAAACCTTAAAAATCCGGAAGAAGTCTCGATAATTTCGAAATACTCTCGATATAAAATAAAATAAAATCTCGATATATTCCCGAGAACCCCGAAAATATCGAAATAATCCCAAATATTCCGAGTTAGTCCCAAAATCCCGAAGTAGTTGCGTTGCATAAAAGAGTATTATTTAGTTGAAAAATCACAAATCAAATCATTCGCTGTAAAAATCAAATCACAAATAAATTTGATTTCTGATTTGGAGGGCGATTCAAATCACAAGTAAAACATATCTTTTATTTGGTTGACCAATCAAATCACAAATAAAATTTGTTTAGGATTTGATGCACCTTTCAATTCAGAAATAAATTTGATTTATGGATTTGTGATTTGACTGAATCAAAATCAGGCAACCCTGCTCACAGCAACCACAAAATAAATTAAACCATTTTAAAAGGTATGACTTTATTACAAAATTACAGCTATGATACCTTTTGAATCCCCTAAATATTTTCACGACTTAAGGGACACTAAAACAGACGCTCTATATTATAGTTATGTACCGCCTTGTATCGCACTTCCAATACCGCATTTGTTTGAGTGTCCCTTTAAACTGAATGAAGAAGTGCAACTCTGTCTGAAGTCATAATATGTTATGGCGAGAGAACAAACAAAAAGAGCCATAGAATGGTGGGCGACATAGGGCAGGTAAAGGGTTCGCGATCGATGCCACCTTTACGTCTCTTCTCTACACCAAGGAGTTAAATAGCGAGCAGGCTCATACAAATTCTATGCAAAGCTTAAAAAAGCTTCTGCCGCGGTTTATGTTTTCGTCGTGACTTGTTTTAAATAACGGGAAGGAAGCACCTTTATCCTAACTTGCTGTCTCCACAGGCAAAAGTTTTTATCTTGATAATGTTATCAGGCAAAACTTTGTCCATGGAGACCGCATATTGCTCTTGGCAAGCAATAATTATCAGAGCTTTTATCTTGATAAATATTGCCAGCAATTTGGTACTTTGACAGCTACATTTTCATTTGCGCGATAGCTTCGTGGAGACAACATTATCGATATTTCAATATAAAAGCAAAAATTGAACTGTTTTCTATTAAAATATGTGTTATTATTTGCTTGGGTGTGAAATAGCATATTTTTTTAACTTTTTAATTGATGAAATCCGGCTAAAATTGCCATCTTATAAATGCTTTTATCAAGATAAAAAATGCCCACGCACAAATATTGCCGCTGATAAAATTTTTATCAGGCAATAAAAATGACAGTTGGTAGGCAAAAACTTTTGCCTGTGGAGACGGGCCGTTAGCAAACCTACAAAAAATGTATGAAAAAGCGAAGAAAGCTTCGCACGACTTATAAAACTGCTCTTGAAAGATGCTATACAAATGAATTACGGTTATGATTTTTAGGTTTTTTATAAAATACAAAAAACATAAAATTACGTTCTAATCAAATTCTTAATACTTACATACATACGTACTCCAAGCGCTTTGCTTTTACAAGACCGTAGCGCAAACTGCTCTGTGCGATCCCTGCCTTAGATCAAGGTGTGCGATATTTATGTATACATACTTCCAATCACTAATTTAATTTAGTGTTTCTCTAACTTTATCTCTACATAATAAACGCACTAACTTTTATTTTTTCTCACACTTTAATTTTAACCATCACTCACATCAGTCCATATTTAAATTTACTAGTAATTTTTAGCAAAAAAAAAACCGACTTCAACTCCCATATAAAAAAATATATATATATATATCTCATGATCCGCTGATCGGATCTTAACGAGATTAGTATGGGACCACCTCTGAGACACTACCTTTCCGATGCAAAAAGAATTATCGAAATCGGTTATGCGGTAACATACATAAAAAAAAAAAAAAAAAATATATATATTCCGACGAACTGATAACCTACTCCTTTTTTGGAAGTCGGTTAATAAATTGCTATTAATTTATTTGTTTATGTCTCATTCATTTTAATCAATTTTCACATATTTATTACGCGTTTAACATCTACAGCATTCCCATTTTCGGGTGCTCTACGTTGTTGTGACCTTCACACAACGTTGCTGGCATTTCATATTAGTGCTTGGCTTTGCTTTTCGGCGACCTTTTTCCACCTCCACTAATTATTCTTTTGTAATCATTTATTTATTATAACTCAAATATTAACGCGCACTCTCTAATAAGTAATTGCAAACTATGATTATTACATAAACTGATACATTTAATCCACACTTCTTCACTTTCTCAATGACGCCGCAGTTTTCTTAAATTTTTGGCGCGCACCTTCTAGTTTTCACTCTACTTCACACTTTTCACTACGGAGGTACCTACATATGTATTAGAATTCAAACAAATATTAATTCCACTTGTTATATGGTTTTTCTTTAATTTTACTCACTTTTCAAATATTAATTACAAATAGAACTTGCACGATTTTAATTAAATTATTCACATTTTCACGAATCTGCAGCGACTGACACGACCGGTTGCTTTGCTTTGCTTTACCTGCAGTCGAAATTGCGTGTCCATTGGTTGTCAAATTGCTCAATGCTCCGCGTGCTCTCAATACGCGCACTTTGAAATCGAAATATGCACGTATGTATGTATATAAAAGAGTCGCCTGCATGGAATTATGGTGAAGGCAGAGTGCCTAATGAAAAAAGATACATTTTAATGCAATAATAAATAAAATATAATTGAATTAAATAAAACAAATTAAAATAAATAAAATAAAATTTATGCAATAAATAAAATAAAATTAAATTAAAGTAAATTAGATTAAATTAAATTAAATTAAATTGAATTATATTAAATTAAATTAAATGAAGTAAAGTAAAGCAAAGTGAAGTAAATTACAGTAAATTAAAATAAAATGAAAGACTAAAATAAATAAAAATTTAAACAAAAAAAAAGACAAAATCAAATAAAGTAAAAAATTAAATAATGGAAAAATATATAAAATATTTAAAACAAAATAAAATGAAACATAATAAAATAAAATTAAATCAATTGTAATAAAATTAAATAAAAATAAAACAAAATGAAATGAAATAACGAGATATAAAAAAAAGAAGTTTAAATAAAACAAAATAAAAGAAACAAAAAAGTTAAATCAAATAAATAATGGAAAACATATAAATTATGGAAATCAAAATAAAACGAAATAAAATAAAGTAAAACAAAATAAAAAAAAATTTATAAAAAAATAACGAAATAAAACGCATTAAAATATAATTAAATGAAATAAAAATAAAACAAAATAAAATTAAATTATGTAAAATAAATATAAATGAAATACCATTAAAGAAAAGAAGATCAAATTAAATCATATAAAAAATAATGCATAAATATTATGGAAAATTTAAATTTGTGTTTTCTTTATTAAGACAAAAGTCAAGTTTTCCTGATTTTCTTTGTTTATAATTAGAATTTTTTCAGGGATATTCTCAAAATGGATAGAGATTCTCGAAAGATTTTACATCTACCTTGGGCTTGTGGGCCTTCTATATAAAATTTTATTTACACACAAAATAGCAATTTTGTAAAAGCTCAAGACAAACCAAGCACAACTGAGCGTTCTGAATGCTCAAGTATGTAGTAAAAAAAAAAATATGAACAAAAATCCGAAAGCGGAAATTTATATCATTTCATTGAGTACGTGACAGCTGCATACGTGGTTAGCTAGCTAAAATATTGCTTTCCTTCAGGTCTAACAACACGTAACGCATTTTAAATTTTCGCCCAGGGTAAAGGAAATGGATTAAGTGGGAAAAAATGTATAAATATACTGAGAAATCAAAACAAAACAATTCAGGTAAATAAACGCAAGTGATAAATGATAATGAGAAAGATTTGGAATGTTTCTATAGGTACATACATATGTATGTATATGTACGTTTTGGGGTTTAATTTAAAATTTTTTTCGCAACTGCACTTTCTTGTTTTGCATGGGCAACGCAGACACTTGAACTGCCAGACTTATCTTGTGAGACATAAACGCCTAGTAATATGGCAAGCAACTACAAACGGCACGTAGCGTAAATACCCAAATGCAGGGGAAGCGCCTAGCGATATGCAACAGTTTGAAGTTGTAAGTGTCTGAGCAAAAGTGATTGATTGCAAAATTGTTTCAGCAAAAGCAATTGATGCGATTGCGAATGCGAATACTCCGAATCGGAATGCAATTTAGTGCTTGTAATTTTCAGATAATGCAATCGCAATTGAAATTATAGGGCAATTACTCAGTGTCTGCTCAAATTCTATAGAACATTTTTCTGCAAAGAAAGAAAAAAACAACAAAACACAGAGCAAAGTGCTTGCATTTAAAAGCTAGCAGTTCTTTTTCTTCTATCACAAATTTCCATTGCCATCTCATCTCTTCACATTCTTTTTTGATGTGTTTTTAGGTGCTTGAGGAGCTACTCACCAAACTGGAAATCGAGCATGTCACTTGGACAACAAGCCGAAAGGGCTACTTTCACCAAGTTGTCTTTCCGCTGCCATCGGGCGAGCCATGCGAAACGACGCTGCACTGTCTAACTCAACTGGGCATTGGTACGAAATTAAATTCCAGTGTAAGGTGAGTAATGAAAAAATATGTACTAAAACACAGCAGGCAAAGCAATATGTACTATGATGGGGAAGAAAGTGAGGCAAATAGTATGGAAGTATATGTATGTAGGTATGTAGGTGGCAGAAAAATTAACAATGCAACAGCAAAGTGTGAAATGTGAGTTGTACTGTACGCGCAAAGATAAAGTTTTAAGTCCAACTGTCTTTTCTGGTGGTGATGGTTTGGCTGCCAAGATATCTACTAACACTGCAAGTTCTTAAAAAAGTTGGTAAACAAAAAAGGCGAATATATTTTCTTAAAAAAAAAGGGCGCAGCGCGACATTGATGCGCCACTAGCATTGCATTTCAACTGCAAAAGAAAATAAACTGGTGATTTTAGTTGGCATAAAAGCGGCTACTGTAGGGGTGTAAGGTGTGCGCAAGCTGACTGGAGTGGCGATTACTTTGCAGTTAAGTAGTCAGTTAGCAGCTGTTGGGTGTGATTACTTTTTTGCTTTCGCATTTAGTTGGTTAGCAGCTGTCATGGCGATATCTTAAAGCGTCATCTCAATAGAAGTATTTACCGTTGATATGCGGTGAAGGTCAAGCGTGTTCGAACGGGTTGGTAAGAAATAATTTTTTTTTTTAGGAAGAGAGTTTTCAGATGGTTATCATAGATAAGAAAATACTTTGATTGAGTTGAGAGAAATACATTCCTTTTCCCACTAAATCCCAATTAAAAAAGGAGTTGTCCATTCTTTTCGACTTATGAGTTTAGAATCAGATTTAAATTCTTGGGTTTTCTGAAACTAAATTTCGGTGATGGCTTCTACAAAAGCAATTCTTGGCCGGCAAAAGAAATATCTAAATGTTGTTTTTTTGTGTGCTTCAGTGTTCATGTTGAAGGACGAAGTAAGGAGATAGATACGAGTTCTCCTAATTAACTTTTGCAGAAAAAAGAAATGGAATAATGATATGTAGGTAGGTTGGTAGGTGTCGCTGCCACTGCTCCTGCCGTTCTGCGTGTTTTACCATAAGGCAGTCCTATCCCTAGGACCGGGTACTCAAATGAGGTTTAGACTATGCGGCAGTCCAGCAAATTTTTTGGATTGATTGTGATGGAACTTACAGCTTTAATTGCTGCCTGGCTGTCACCTCTTTACTTTTTGAGTTAGTATGAAGTCCGTTTATAGCCTCCATTATAGCTGAGATCCGCAATGCTTTGCTGACTAGATTAAGATTTAGGCCTTGCCCAAAGTATAAAGGAGAATCGGTCTAAGCAACGATGTATCACTCCATACTCGGGCTCAACCCGCATTTCTTACCGAAGGCCCTCTTGCACGAATATAGAGCCATATACGCCTTCAATAACGCTAGGCTATGTTCTCGACCAGCTCGGTTTTATGTCGAGTTGAGGCCTAAGAATTTGGCTTTATTCGTAAATCTAAAGATTCGCAGCTCTCGTTCCGCCCCGCATTGCCGCAGAGCCCACAAAGCGTGGAATCTATCCTTCGCATCAAGTCGCACACAGTTTGCAGGCACTTTCCTTCCTTGTACGTGATGGCTATGTCATCCGCATAATCGATTACCTTGGCGCTTGTCCATTTCGTCTCTCGTAAGAGACAGTTCACGTGTGCCCCATGTCATATCTTGAATCCGAGTTCTCACGGACGTAACTCAACCAGAGAATCATCCAGCTGCAGTCCCCTAAAAGTTGTTACAATATTTCTAGACACTGAGAAAGGACATGTCAGACCTACTGTCAATGGTGTTAGATAAGATATTCCCTCTAGAGTCTTAAGAACAAAGGAAGAAAACCTAATAGATCTAAGATCCTTTGTATTTGCATGGAAGAATGATAAAATTGCCCTGAATTCCAAGGAAAAGGAAGAAATCAGAAGAAAATAAATTAACTAATGGCATTTCCTTTTTTTTACAAAAAATGTTGCCTTTTCATTGCCCTCTCATTAGAATTTGTGCGTAAAAAGCACTGCAAAGGCAACATTTTTCGAAAACGCATAAATATAATCCCGCTAATCTGACGTCGCCTAGGTAAACGTTTTTTATCTGGGAAAGAGAAAAAATACCTAAAAAAATACTGTAAAATATTACAGGCAACTTTCTAAAGTACCTAGCTGCATGAAATTGCTTTGCGTTGACATTTGAGTAGAGTTTGCATATTTAAGTGCTCAATTTTCTCTTTTCACACATTTCGCAAACTCACTTTCAAAATGTTCTTTTAAATTTCACTTTCATCACATGCTTGTGCACATTTTTAATTTAATTACATACTTTTTTTTACATTCCCATTTTCGTCTTGCTTAACTTTCTTTTCAGCATCATACCATGCAGTGTCACTTACGATGCCCTCACTGATGTTGTCAACAAGGATGACTTCAGGTAAGTCAGATGTCGCATGGCTGTAAAAGCATACATAAATTTACTCTGTGCATACTTGCATACACGGCCGCACGAGCATAAGCAAAATTGCAATGCACTTGTGCGTTTCGTTGCTGCTGCGGTGTTACTTTGTTTGCAATTATCATCATTTTGCACACACACGCGATCAGAAAATGCAGCATACACTCAGGCGCATAAAGGCAATCGCTTGACAGTTGCTGTGTGCAGGCAGCTACACTCTAACGCCAGTGGAATATTTGTAAATCCAGCATGTGTGCATTATGTGCTGTTGTCCAGTTAGTTTAGTTCACCATAAGTGTCCTGCCTGTCCTGCTTGTCCTGCCTGTCCTGCTTGTCATGTGCAGCTACAAATGTCGCTGTCATGTCACATGCCTCTATTCCTCCTCCTACCCATCATCCGCTCAAACTTAGCTCAAAGACTATCCCTTTGGTCGGTTTCATAAGTTGTAAGGGAAAGGCAAGTGCGCTCTTCTGGTGCCCCTAGAAGTTCACTAGAGTTATTCGAATACAGGTATCCTGCTGTTGCCGCTGAAGTCTTTGGAGTTAACATAAAAAAAAAATCCTTGGTGTAGCCATTTCTTCTACTCTGTGTTTGGTGCCAATCACCTCAGCTTATCTCCGTCGGCCACGGGGCGTGCACACAAATTGCGGCATCGTTTCGTTTCATTTGCTTTTTGTCCTGTCGCTTGTGTATCTTGCCCACTTGTGGCGTTGCAACACTCGGAGGAGGTAGAGGCGTTCTGCAATTGCGACTGACTGCTACACAAAGTAGCAATTTTAAGACGTTATTGTAGAAGTGGAGTGCAGCGTATTTTTGCAACCTTTTATGTGTTTTCAATTTCCCTCTTTGGTAGCGTCGTAATGATCGCAAAATTATTGATTCTTGATGGTCCAGCGATAATATTGTCAATTGAAATCCATTCGGAATAAATGTTTACATTAAATATTTGTTTCGTAAGTGGTGAAGAAGTAGAAAAAGAGGAGTAACAAAACATAAAAATCACTAGCCCAGTAGTCCGCGTGTTAGGGTAGAGAGTTTGGGTGGGGTGGAGTGAGAGTTTTGTGAAAAATAATACTTTACTTACAGACATTGTCAGTTGATTACTAGCACTCAAATAGGCGCATGTAAGACTTTGACGGGTCATGCAATGAAGCTCCAAAAAAAATATTGTAGACGCCATTCGAGAAGTGAAGGCATGTTTAAATCGGGTAATAAAAAAGCGAAAATGGTTCAAGCTGCTTGTGCTAAATTGCATATCTTTGTGCGCACTATGCGCTAATCGAGAAAAAAATTGATGAGATCTCGAAGCACTATTCCCGTCGACACAGATGGAATCCAAAGCTGTAAGCTATCCAAGAAGTTCAGGTTAACACTTAACTGCCAAAATTTTCAGAGTTCGACAATACTGTAAAAATTATAGAGATTTCGGCAATATGTATATGTTATATGAAGGGTCAGAAGAATTTAGGTGAAAACCTTGTAAAGCGTCATAGAAAATTCAACCGAGCCACCAAGGTAAAGCGAGCTCAAAGATGCTATTGTCCGACCTCTTTTCAAAATCGAGCTCAAAGTTTGGGCACAAAAAAGAGAAGAGGCTACAAAAACACTACTCATCGCTTCCCTTTGTGTTGGAGGGCTGCACAAGTGATACTCCAGCAAAATTCGGGCACCTGTCTATTAGAAAGATTGCCTTCCCAAATCTTTACTCTATCGTATTAATTTCCATGTAAGATTCCTTTCTAAAAATAGTCCTAGATATCTAAAATTCTCCTTCAAAGGAATCGCCGCATTTTTTTTTTTTTTTATTAGCGGGGAGGCCGGAGGAAGCCTGTTTTCTTATGAAGAGATTTACTTCAGTTTTATCGGGGTTTATTCCGCCACCAACCCGGCCATTATAAATATTAAATGCTTATATTTTATGGACGACCTTTATGCACGCGCATTTTAGCTTTTCTGAGCCTTCTTCAAGAGGTGAGCTTCAACAATTTAGATACAAGAAAGCCCAAGCGATTTCAGATGCAAATTTGTTGCACCATTTGACTTATGCGCAGAGTTGTGCAGCCAATCTGCATCGTCTAGTGAAAATGTATGTACATATGTAAGGAAACCGCAGCTTAAGAAGATAACACGCATTTATGCACTTGCATAAATACATGCTTTGCTTTGCCTTGCCTTTGGCATATAGTATTTTGTATCTCACGTTCATTGTCCGTATGCAAGTAATTGTTTTGTGAAGCATTTTATCGTACATACCGCTGCTGTAGCTGCTGTGATTTGTGACCGAAAGCCACAAACACACACACACACACACACACACACACACACACACACACACACACA